GGGGGGGGGGGGGGGGTGGGGAGGAGAGGGCATTTGGGGAGAATTCAAAGCTAATATAAGTTTTAAAACTTTGTAGGATCAATGTTTCTAACACGCTGAGGTGCATACTTTCCAAATTTTTGATCCCATGCTTTTGTTTTATTCTGGAATTCTGAAAAATTTCGCGCCGTTTTTCAACTTTCTTGGATCACATTTGCTGGATTTCGAAAGAGTAATGTCCTTCATCTATAATAAAAAAGAAATTTTTTTTTTTGTAGCATCAGCTATCTCCTTTATAAAAAAAATAAATTTTTTTACAACTAGGAAGAATTTTTTCTTGTAACTTCAGAGATTGCCTTTCTATTGCAAATTAGAGATTTCAGGAGCACGTCCACTGCTTGATTATTGTGGCGACCGTAAAAGAGGTGCTTTTGTTAGCAGCAAATTTCACCAGTAGCAACACGGTGAACGCTGCTTCCCGTGGATGCGTTGATTTCCGGCTCGCTGAGATGTATTTGCTTCCGAATCCGATCTTCAAAGTATTGTTTTCATGCCATTTACATGTGGCGCATGGAAATTTCCATGTGTCAATGGCGCCAAAAGAATGAGGAGAATAATGAGAGGGCGTAAATGGTAACACAGATCTTAAATTACGATCCTTGTGCGAGAAAAAACAGGCACTGTCGTGCATAGGCGGATCCAGAGCAATCTCCTAGGTGAGGGGGAAGGGGGCGATTTTTACGGTCGACGAGCAGGAGGGGGTAAGGGCGACGAGAGGTGTGGAAAAGAGTTTTCTTTTTAGCACTGCTACCTGTGCCGCTTGGCGGGAAGGGGGCCTACCCTGGATCCGCCAATGCTTTCGTGACTACGCTACACTTTGAATTCAGAATTTTGCGCCTAAACGAAAACACCATAAAAAAATTGCCATAACTCGGGGGCTTAGAATATGACGCTTGGTATTTCGAAACGCATATGAATCCGGCTGTGCAAAAATAGCGCCACCTAAATTGACAAGGCGGCAAAAATTATTTGTACTTTTGAGATTAGCTTCAAGAATGAAGTAAGGCCAGTTGTAAGTACAATTTTGCTAACTATTTGTCTTTGAGTGAATGACATAAGTAATTCACGAAATGCGCCTCTTTTCCTCATCCTCGAGTTTTGTTTAACGTTTTTAGCTGAATTTTTCATGCTTTTTTCCCGATTTTTAACTCAATTTTTTGTTTGCTTAACAATTTTGGCTCAATTTTCCGTGTTTTTTTTTTTTTTTTTTTCATTTTTAGCTCGATTTCTTGTTTGCTTAACGTTTTTGGCTCAATTTTTCCTTCTTCCTTTTCTTTCAGCTCTTCACAATGATTTTTAATGATTCTTTAGCATGACCTCTCAACTGTGCGTTACTCCCCCCTGTTGCTTTTTTGGCAGGTAGTTATGTCGAAATCTAAACATGACAGCTTCCTGCATACAAATTCATAATTATCATTTTAAAATCCTGTACTATGAGTTTTTGTAATTTCAGGTACCGCTCGAGGGCAGTACTCTAACAGATATCGCCACCTCGCCAAACGGCCGAATTTTTTTCGCTGCAGATGGGAATGTGTTTGAAATTGATTATCAGGTCATTCTGCTTTGGTATTTTTTGTTTATTGGGCATCAAAATGCGGCAACTGACCGCGTAAATACCCATGAAAATGCAGTACATCCTCATGTTCTACACTCTTGTTAAGTAGTTACCAGGATGGTCAAAACTTTTTGGACAGTTGGTATGGCAGTCCTTGTGAAAAAGTTGCTGGAATGCAAGTATAATTTGTGCGGAACTGTGCCAATAGGCCTTTTAGATTTGAACCCTTTATGTCATCGAGGACAGCATTTACTGATACCCCATAACATTAATTATCAAAATTCCATTATGTTGCTCTTCACGATGGGCCAATAACGCCAAACGAACCGCCTATGGTAACACATAGAAGATTTCAGGCTCCCGTTCTCTTCCAATCTCCTTGTCACTGTTTGTATCTTTAAAATTTGTACAGCACTTATCAGTGAAACAAACAAAAAGTGCTGCGCATTTACCCTTACTGTTTCTTGCAATCGTAACAAGATCCTTCGACCGCTTGCCTTGTGAAGAATTGATTGCGTGCATAGCCAGGAAGAGCCCATATTATGCGGTGACGTACTGATGCGAAACATAGTCACTGACTAAAGCAAAAAAGCAGATGCTTGTAGTGATGAAGTGGTAGATGGTAAATATTTTTTGGAATGTCTCTTCATGGCTGTCTGCTTGGCACTATTTTATTATTACGGCAGAGCTTTTCGAAAGTTTCACCGACTGGAAAAAAACTTTAAAATTTAGGTTAGGAATGCTTCCATAATGCTTAATTTCAAGCTGCATTTCAGACTTTTGCTTCGCATGAATTTAATTCTATTATTGCAGGAGAAAGGATGGTTTGGTCAGAGATGTCGAAAAATCAATCATTCCAAAAGTTTTATCAGCTATTTTTTGCCCGTTGTACCAATAATTGGTAGCAAAGAAGGTTACTTCATTTTTATTTGTTTTATCTTAATTTTTTTTTTTTTTTTTGGTCTTTCTAAAATGCAGTGGGGCTGTTTGGTAATTGATTCCGCTCTCCGTGAACTGTGTTTTTTAGATCGATTGGTGCAACTATGCATGGACGATAGCAGGAATATTTTGTATAGTCTTTCGGAAAACGGGTCCATCCAGGTTTATGATTTACAGCTCGACGGCAATGCATTTGTGAAGGTGGCCTCGATGGGTTATGAACAGATACAGGTATCGTTCCATCAAGCGAATTGCCTTTCAGAGTCGTATCCAGTTTTTCACTATTGCGAAATTTTTATTTAGTGGGTTAATTTTGGGAGATAGGATAAATTGAGACATTTTTACCATTAAACTGCGATTGTTAAGTAGGAAGGCTGTTAAATTGCATACGCCTAATCTCAGCAACACAATTAAATTCTGACAAATTTTAAAATTATATAAGCCGACTGTAGCAACCAACTTGGCCATGGAGGCCTGAATGGCGAAGGCACGATAGATTACAGCATTAGAGAAGATAAGAGTGAGATAAGGCATTTCGATCCATTAAGTCACATACGCCCTATATAAATCGTGCGAATAATACGGTGTATTTTCTCGCAATGCGCCATGTGAACCTGGCAGCCCGAGTTTCAGTAGTTATCTCTAACTGAGAAATGCTTGATTTCGTGTACCAGTAAGTCATCGAATGTTTTAGCAACTCTCAAAACTACTGGTTCTAGTTATTATGTGAACTGTTGGTTGGAATGTGAGGTTGACACTTCAGCATAGTGCCTGTTCCCCATCCTTCCCGCCTCCTTCTTGTGGTAACGCCAAAAAATGCTATTCGGGGCATCAAATGTAAATTTTTTATAGTCTCAAAAAAATCCTCGTCATACGACTTAGTTTTGGTTTCTCATATGCATAAGGCTTCTGCGTCATTGGTACAATTTCAGGAAATTGCTGCGATGGAATGTCGCACGGTAGATGCGTCTTTTTTTGCGAATGTTGTGCAGATCTGCTCAATCCCATACACACAGTCTCGACTTCTACATCTCGTATGTTCGCCTTAAAATTTTTTTCATCCACATAATTTGGAAGTCAAATTTGTTGAAACGAACTGTTTGAAATTAATGCCATTTTTTTTTAAATCGCATATCATAAACAGAAGCATTTATGGGTGCACTTTCACTAACAGGGGATAACTACACTAATAACCCGAACGATCTTGGTATTCTTGGTATCTTCCGGAGTTTCTGGGCGTCTTTGCGTCACTGTTAAAACAACACATTAAGGCTACGTTATTATGTTCACCTATATATATGTATTTGTGTCATTCTGTCTGTCTGCATTTTTTGAACTCTGGAACTACGAAAGCTTTGAGGCTGAAATTTTGGGCAACAAAATTTTTGACCCTGTTCGAAGTTGTAAACTTGAAATCATCTTCCGGCCCGGATCCGTGATTTCAGCTCCAGTTAGGAGCAAATTTTACCGTAGGACTCAAAATTTTCATCACACACACGCATCACGCTTGCATACTGTTTAAGCGATATGACTAACTGTCGTAGGGTATGTCGCACTCATCAAAATTGCTCATCGAAAATATGCGTGATTTCGTCAACACCATGCCTGTCGCCCGACACTTTTTTCGAGTAGCGCATACTTTTCACAATGACACAGTTTTTACCGAATTATGAGGAAAAAGTTATCTAATTTATAAGCCGATTGTAGCAACCAGGTTGACTCTGAAAACCTAAACAGCGAGGGTGCGATAGATTACAGCATGAGAGAGCAGTATGAGAACTCTAAGATCGCTCAATCATCCGATTCAGCGATTTTAGAGTTGAAAAGAGGAATACGATCTATAATAATCTCACAAATTTTCCAATTTTCTAATTTTCATTTCTTACCTTTTTTCTTTCTTCTGTTTATTTCATTCCTTCTTATTATAACTTTCTATTACTGTGTGGGTTTTTTTTTTCAGATAGCTACAACGAGGAAAGGTGTTCGCTTGTTTTTTACGTGTTTTTCTGCAGCACCCATGCCCTCAAGCGAATCCGAAAGTTGCTGGACTCTGGTATGCCATTTTACTGTTTGTACGAGCTGAAATTTTTCTAAATCCTTCACAGTTGTTGGAATGAGCTGCTTTCGGATTCATCACGACTGAGCGGGTGGTTGTTTGGGCTTAACTGCGTATGGCTTCGTTCTACAGAAAAAGAATCTTTAAAAAAAAATCAAATCCGCTGAAAAAATTGTTTATGCTACTGGTTTTGAGGGAAAGGTTTTTCAAAAAATGACCATTGCGAGATATTTCTTTCTGAAAATAAAACGCAGAATTAAATCATTTTCTGACTTGGGCACAATAAAACCCTTCCTCAGAACTTTCAGTGTCAACATATAGCAGTACAAAATTGCTCCAGTTTACGCGAATTGGTAAGGGCGCGATGATTTTGCGGGACAGATTTTGGTTGTAATCTCTTTTTTCGCATTTTTCATAACCTTTGTGAAAGCTACATCTGCCTTTTTTAAATATATTTTCAGCGTTTTTATCATGCAATATTTCTGACGAAAACTTAATAAGAAATACGCTACTTTGGAGCTGAGAAAGCAGATTTTCAGGAAACTATGAGACCAAGTTGCCTTCGTTTGAAACACATACGCTTGCCTCCCGGATATGGCATTGGAACGAAAAATTTCCGTTCACTGCTTGTGCATAAGGCTTTATACTCTCCAAGTATGTCTTATTACATTTTCCTTGTGTATATTAATTTAACTCATCCAGGAAAATTTGAAATTAAATAGAACAGCCTTACATTTGTACTAGGCGCACTTTTGTGAGTTTTGTTAAATCGAAAAAAAAATTAGGACATCCTTTTTATTTCTTTTTTTGACTTAATTTTGAAGGGCTTTGGCAGAATTTTGGTTTTGCAGCACAATTTCTCACCTGTGGGCCAGTTTCTTTAGCAGTCCTCTTACAAGCAACGTCTTTACTTTTTGAAAAAAAAAAGAGAAAAAAAAACCTGTTAGCACTTTTCCTACGATTGTTGAACGTTTTTTTTTTTGCAGAAGCGGGAATAGTAATCGGCGAATCGGTTACCAGTACTTCTAATATCTCCTTATTCTGTTCCGCAAACTTTCCATTACGTGCATCTTTGACCGAAAGTGTGGTAAGTTCACTGCAGTCAAAGCTTTTTTCTATTTTAATATGTGTGTGCCTGATGCGATTGAAAGTGTCAGCGATGAGCTTTAGTGCCTGGCTTTTAAAATCTGTATGATTTGTTGTATGTTTCAAAAAAAAAAGATTCGTTTTTGCTGCACTCCAGATCCTGCTGCTTCTCACCGCCCTTTGTTTTTGGTGAGGCTGAGGCTTGAATGCTTTTGATTTAGGTCACCTAAAGCGTTTAACTAGCTGGTTCTGTTTTTTAGGATAGTTTCGCAGGTAACCTGGAGACGTTGAGTCTTGGTCATAATTGTGGTAGAATGAAATGAATATCATTCGTTGCCTTTTCGAAGATAAGACATCCTGGCAGTGTCGCAACGGGTGCCATAACTAAGATTTGATATATGTTTACCCAACTGACCTATTTCAGACAGAGCTGCGTTCTCCAAGTTTTGTGGTCGGAATCGCGCAAAGCGATCCCAGCCGAAGGCACTTTTTGGTTTGTCTTTCTATATTTGTTTTGGTCATCTGGTTTAATACTACACACCATAACTGTTGAGGGAAAAACAGCGCTTAAGGCAGCACAAAGCGACGTTATTTTGCTTATCGTATTCGCACACAGCAGAAAGGTTTTTGATTCCCTCCAGCCACTAGACATCCTTCCTCCATCTAGTTTCCTCAATATTTTCATTTTTGATAAAAGATATTTTGAAGCAGCTCAGACAATAGCACATTTTATCAACAGCAACCATACCCTGGTAGTTTTGTCAGTAATTCCATCTTCCACAGTTACCGGACAGGTAAGCCTGGTGCACTTTGACTTCTAGTCTTTGTATCGCACTTTTTTCACTGGATCAACGCGCATAATGGTTGACTTACCCGGTGGCGAATTTGAACCACTACTGGAGTCTTGAAGTAAACATAGCAACTAGGCAGTCTGTTTCATAGGCGAGTCCAGGAGGAGGGGTGATGGGTGTTTCGTCCCCCCCCCCCCCCCCCCCCCCCCC